GAGTGGTTTGGCAGCCGCTGAACCCAAGGTCTGTTTAAGTCATAATAGAACCCTCCAAAGATTTGGGGTTAATGGCATAGCGCCAGATGCGGTCGAGGATTCGTAGCAGCCCTTCCGCTGGTCCATGTAAAGTGAGATACGACCGTAGTAGGTTCTGATGCGCCCGGATTTCGGCTTGGAATAGTCGCGCGCGGGATTTGTTGCGTAGGTGATACAGTCGATGGCGATATCGATTATATCCATGGGAGGGGAGGCGTTGGTCTGGAGGCGGCGGCATTGCTGGCATTTGTTGGGGCCAATGGATTTGATTCGTGGGAAGTATCTGGAGATCAAGTCCAAAGGTGTGGTCACCACAGATACCGTAGTCCGTCAGCTTATAAGTTTGGAGGGAGGCGGGCGTGGTAGGTCGATGATATGTTCAGTACTAGTTGAGCCGCCAGCATAGAGGTAGTCCAAGTGCCACTTATTACGCAGAGTAGTCTCAATCGTTTTCATACGTAGTCCGTGATTTATAGATGCGTGTCCATACTTCCGGGCTTTAAAGTTGAAATCTCCCCACACGACATCTGGTTGGAAACCGCCAATCTCGGGGGGATTCATGTATCGCCTGATGTCTTCTTCAGTAAGCGATTTGAGTGAAAAGTAGAACACAGCCATATGAACGCCAAAGCACACAAAGAACACCGCGTACGGCGAAGAGTGTACAAGTTGAAAATTCGATGGTTGGTGTTTGGAAAAGATACCAATACCACAGTGTGAAGGGTGTAAGATATTATGCCGTGTAGTGTGATGTAGTATATGATAGCGTGTGTTCGAGCGTATATGATTAAGAAATGTGGTGTTATGCCAGGTTTCAACCACACACATAACATCAACCTGACTTAAAATCGATATAACGTTCAAACACTTATCTGTATGTGCTGCGTTGTCCATGTTGAGTTCTTGTGGGTTGAAGAGCGTCATCCTCATTGGTCCTAACATTGTTCATCATCGGTCAATACTACTGGGCTCTCCTCTTTGACGATGTCAGCCATTTCTATATCATTGCCTGTCGTCAAAGAGTCCGTCGTGGAAAGCTGAGGCTGCGTATTGCTATCCATCGTGTCGGATGATTGTGTCGGGGAGACCGTTGGTATACGAAGTCGTCCGGGTTCCGCACGCGCTGATTCTTTAGCGTTTACCGGGATTCGCGGATTAAGTGAGAAGAGGTTTGCATCATGCTTTGCTTGGTAAGCCTTCTGGAGACGGTCCGCGGTAAATTGGAGGATGTCTGCGTTAGTGGAGTTTTTGGCGCTCGTTCATGTGTGCAGTGGGCCTCCCGCTTGGTGCGGAGATAGTGAATTAAAGTTGCTTTCGTAGCGTCGGGATGTTGTTGGGAGCGGGGGTCGATGTTTTCATCAAGCTGCCATTTCCACGTAAGTGCTGCATGTCGTTTCACCTGGGCGACAGAGTCGCTAGGAACACAAAGGCGGATGAAACTGGTTGAGCTTCCGCGGCGATTTCGTTGAGACACCGATTTAGACGGAAGATACCAGAGAAAGTGGTGGCGATTGAGGGCTGGTTGGGCATGCCAGTATTTTTCAAATACTGACTGGGATGGGGGCTTGCCGTTAGGGAAAATTGCTCGGAAGAAGAGCCATACCGGAGTTATGTCATCCATTTCAAGAAGAGGTTTGTCCGGCATCGGGCGGCCCACCACTTTCGTCAAAAGGTGTTCAGGTACTGGCGGCTGCGATTGGGACTGAGAAGCTGGTGGGGTCGGGCGGGGCTCGGGTTTGCAGGTTTGTCCACTTTTGAGCGGTAGCTGGGAGGCTCACTGCTGCTATTGGGCGCGTGTGACCGCGGGTTTTTTGCAGGCGGAGCAGGCGGGCTTGTGGAGCCAAATCGGAAAGTGTCGGGTGTGTCTTCATCTATAGGTGCACGGGTTTGAGATTTAAGGTCCCGGAGTTCGGATTCAAGGTTGGTTGTTTTTTTGCACAGAGGTTAGTGAGTATTTGGTGTATAGTTGATTTCCTTTGGTCATCAGTCAAAGGCTCCTTGGAGATGGGCCCATCATTGTTCGGGGTTGTTAGAGCCGGTCCCAAAATTTGATTGAGATTGGCCTGTAGAGTACTGACCTGGGCAGAGAGGTTTGTGATAGATTTTTGTATGTCCAATTTCCATTGGTCATTGGGTAATGAGTCGTTGGGGACGAACGTCTCAATTGGAGATTCGGCCTGGCCCGACATTTTTCGCGGATGGGACTGTGAGACTGTGGGACTGTGGGACCCCAGACTCCCTACTGTATTTTTTGTTTTTGTTGATTGAAAATCCAAATTTCAAGTCAACGTTTTGGTGGGGTCTGTGGGGTTTTCTTTTGAAAGTGGTATTCAGTTCTACACTGGTGACCTACTGTTCATCGATATTTATGTTTCGGAGGCGAAAATTTGAATCAAAGGTCCGTCGTGAAAAATAAATATGGGGAAGTGGGAGGTTGGAGACAGGGTTGGGTGTAGTGGAGGTGAGCGACAGAGTTGGACTTATAGCTTAGGTGAGCGACAGAGTTGCACATAGCGAATGTAAAAATTAAGGTTTGGGCATATTAATGGTGAAAGTTAGTGTGGGGTAGGGCATAGTGACGGGGAAATTAATGTTGGTTTTAGTGGCGGTGAACGAGAAAGTGGGTGGTGAAAATTCTAGCGACTGTCTTGAGAGTCCTCCTTTTTGGGTTGTAAAGATAGAAAGTAAATATTGCACAATAAATACGCATACAAAAAGAAGTCAAACTGAATACATAAAACCCCTTTTTGGATACATGAGGTTCGTCATAAAGCAGTCCATAAGGTGTAGGGCTTTCGTCGTCCCTAATAAAGATTGTTGTGATTTTATTTGTGGACTTGGATACCTATTTTATTGATTATGTATGGGCTTTTCGTATACCTGAGCCTCAAATAATCTCAAAATCATCGGAATTGGAGTCCTCGCACGAGCCAGATCCTGACACCACGTCACCCGTATCTGCACCGGAGGTCTGGAGAGATAAAGCGAATCGATGTAAGTGAATTCCCATTGAAAACCATCGCACTATGCAGCTCGGGTCACTTGGCAACTATAGGTATCATTAGTAAACATTGTCCACCCATCGCCGCACACCCAGTATTTCCCGCGTCCTCCTTTGTCAAAGATATGAGAAATCCTCTGGGCCACAGTTTTCAATAATTGCATCATTTGTATACTTTGCACTCATGCGGTGAAGATCATATATGCTTTTCCATACAATACCTGAGCAAATGGGTTGGCCATCTGTACGACATTAAAGAGCGGCGTCGTTTCTAATCGTTGTTTCAGTTCAAACGTGGAGAAGAAGCCATCTCGCTGTAATTAAACAGTCCAATATATGCATGTAGACTGAGACTTTACAGTGCAGGTACAAGGTACAAGGTAGTACAGTTGTAGCTCCGATAAACTGCCAGTCAATGTGCTTAAAAAATACGATACATATGGCCAACCGATGGAAAGTCGTCACCGGTACTCACGCCTGTAATTAATACAAGAACTAATGAAGAATGATATCCCGAATATCGGAAGCCATTCAAGAATTAAAGAGCTCGTCTATAAAGAAGAAGGTCCGAACGTCACATCTCGAGACACAGTCCGTTGACACTGACGATAAGAAGTACATTTCTATTCCCGATATTCATCAAGTTCGTCAGGAAAAGTTCCCCATAGTGTATAAATCAACGATTCAAACATCATGTCATGTCTCGTGCCCATGATGTCATGAGAATGCGCACAACTTAGTCCTATCCACATACCTCGGCCTTCGTGTTGAGGAGGAATCCCAGACAAAGAGAAGGATCCATGCTGGAGAATGGCAGCACATTTATTTGACTGCAGTGGTAAGACTGCGACATGGGACATGAATCGGTGCGAGAAGTAAGAGAGTCAGAAAGTTGGTAAAAGTAACTATACGTTGCACAAATACGCAGCATACCCATCTAGCTTTCATGCGTATGTACATATATTTGTATGTATGTATATGTGTATCTACGTAAACAGATATATACATACATAAACTATATATATATATATCTATCTATAAATATGATAATACACACAAATACACAAATACACACACACGCACATACACACGCATATATTCATAATATATATATATATATATATATATATAATACACACACACACACACACACACACACACACA